TGATAAATTTTCGAAAGTACTTAAATTATGTGCATTTTAAGTAAGTTCTATTAATCAATTATATTTGTAACTGCAAATTCTGAAACTTTATCTATTATATCTACTTGAAACGTGAGTGCACTTACTTTAAAATGCGTTAATACATCTAGCAAGAACGGGATTCGCTGTGAGAAGGTATCGATGCAGAGAGAATTGGTAAACTTGATCCGCCTTGCAAATAATGTTATCTCTATATTTGAACTTTGCGGTATAACAACTCGCTGCGAGCGTCAAATCCATTTCGAAAGCGTGACTGCACTCGTTGTATATAGCGCAATATTAATGCGGAATCGAATGCATCGATATCGACCTGCTCCTCGATAACGTTTGCTATTGAACTCCGATAGGCTGGAGAAGGCCAATTGAATATTAATTAATATTATAAATAAACGTTATGAATTGATATTATAGAACACCTTATGCAGCTTAGATGACTCTTTTACGAACGTTAATGCAAGCTAATTTATTTAGAAATTAAAATGGGCATATACAGTGTCATCGTTTATCTCAAAAAATTGGAATATTTTACGAACGGACAACAAAATCTTTTTATGGATTTGTTTGATATGAAAGGGAGCAGATCATATGATGACATTTTTTTTCATAGTTCGATGACATTTGTTGAGACAAATTCAACGACGTATCTTATAAGGTCAATTTTTATTGCAAAATCTTACAAATTATATTATAAATTTGTGAATTCCCAGAGTATTATATATCCCCAGAGATATAATACTCTGTATCGTTAGTTGTTAGACAACATGCTGTAAACAAAGGCTGAACTTCTTATCTACCTTTATGCTTCTAAAATTACCGACCTAAGCAAACGAAGTTTATTTCGTAAGAAGTTCGGCCTTTGTTTATAACATGCAACCTAACAGCTGACAATCGACGATACTTTATACTTAGGGTTATACTCCTTAGAAACTTACAACTTTATAATATAATTTATAACGATAAAAAATTGACATTATGTAGTATGTCGTTGAATTCATCTCAACAAATTTCATCGAACTATGAAAAGAAAAATATATAGTTCCATTTAAAAAAATTAATTTGACTTTAAAAATTTTATTATCCACTTGTCCTGTTAAAAAAGAATTGACATCAAATGATGTATCTCTTCGTACCAAACAAATATGTAAAAAAAATTTTTTTTGTCGGTTCGGTCCCTCGCGAGATATTCAAATTTTTCGAGGTAAACAGAACATCCTATATATACATGTAAATGTGTGTATGTGTGTGTATGTATGTATATATATATATATATATATATATATATATATATAATCTAATTTTTCTAAGTTCTCATCAAGGATATAATGAAAAATTAGTTTTCTTAAATACGACAAACGGATAGTTCCAATGAAAAATTGATTCGAAGATATTGTAATCTCAGAAATAGCAATCACAAGAGAAATTAGAATCTTTCAACTCTGATCGATGTGTGATCAATGTAAAACGCTTACATTGATCTTTCATCGAACTTGTTGGAATGTCTGATCGATTTGTCGTCTTTTCTCTTGTTCTTTCTCTTTCTCTCTTTTACACGCGCACACACACACGCATGCGCATACACACACATATACACGCAGACACACAAATATATTCTCATTTCATAAATATTTAAATCGATTAAGTTAGATGATCTTATTTGAGAACCAGTTAATTCGTAAGAAATTTTCTCTCAATCTTCTATTATATATAAATTGTTATGTTTTATATTTTAATCGACTAAAGATCTTGTTTGTTAGCATTTTGAAATACGAAAATGGAGAATAAAAGGACTTTATAGAGAAAGCTAATTAAATTCTCTTATTTGCCAAAGGAATCTAGTTAAACAAGGTAACAAAGTAGCCAATATCCAGACACGTTCTACTCGAGAATAGGTATTAACTCATTCCACGCGCGTTTTAGTAGCTTCCATCAGACATGTTAATTTCGAAAGCTTGAACCTCAACTACGAAAGCGTTTTAATTTGGAAGTAAAATAACTAAGATTCTGTATGGTTTTTGAAAATTTCCCGTATCGTTCGCTTTACTTAAATGACTATGATTAGTGGAACAATAAATTTTTATCTACATCATACTATAGTAAGTCGTACATAAATAAATTTCTTATTTGTTTGTTTTTTTGTTTCTTTTTTATTTCATTTTATTTTGTTCTTTTTTTTTAATGTAACTGGGATTTATCAATGATCCTATCGATATTATACTTCGATTAAGTATGCAAAAATTTATGAATAATTATCAACCGTATAGACTACTCTTCGCAACTGTAAAACATGTAAAATATAATATCCATATATTTAGGACAAATAGGTTATACGAATATACGCCAAATATATATAAAATAATAATAATATATAAAATAAATATATATATAAAATATATATAATATATAAAATAATAATAAATATATAAAATAAGTAATAATATAATTATATACATCATGTTTGTATATTGATAGACACATATATAATATAAACATATATATATATATATATATATATATATATATATATATGACGTGAATCTGTTTCAGGAAATATATATAGCTATATATTTCGATACTATCAACATTACTCACTATTTCACTATATGAATAACTGGTCTAAGAAAACATAGGTATACATTTTAGTAATACTGGAAAAGCAAATGTATACATACATACATACATACATATGTACATACGTTAATAATCCAAATAGGTTAAAAGAAGATACCATAAAGTTCTTAGTAAATGTAACAGAATTATATCGGATATGAGATAAGCGATGAAAATCTAGAACGTTTTGATACACACATCTATACATCACGGAGAATTTAGTACCCCATATTTATGTCACGGCCACATTCTCCCAAGTATTCTCTCGCGACCCACGAAAAGGAGCAAATATGATGAATACCTTCATGAATTACGTCGATGCAACATCTTCTTACCCGAATACTGGTGAATAAAATTTATATAATTACGAGATATGTATGTACAATATTTCAATGTTATTCCGTGTTTCTTCGCGAAACGTTAAAATACGATATATGTTTGTAAACGTTATTCATTCAAAGGGCTTATAACAAGCATGTCGTTAATAATAAAAGTGATGAAAGTGAAGTAAACAATTTGTAAAAATAATAAAATTGAAATAACTAAATAAATATGATATGACTTTAGTTACTTTCATAATCATTGACTCGAATATATAACACGAGATATGAGCAATTATGTTGTAATCTTAAATAGACCATGAAAATTTCATCACCGCATCAATGATTCCTTTAAAACGTATATATAGAACGTAAAGGATATATTTACATGGTACCATTACATACATCGCTTGTTCAGTTCCTCTAAGACAGAAAGGAAATAATTAATAGCTTAAGACTTACTTTGTAGCAAAGATGACGCACACTGGATCGCAGACATTCTCTCTGTTCTCGAGAGTTCATGCATTTAGTAAAGTTACTTGTATCGCGATTTTGATATCCGTACGCAAATGTCGAAGTTTACTCTACGTAGTTTACGATGAGACACTCTACCACCTGTCAGAACAATTCCGAACTTAGTCCTAACACCAGACGGAAGTCATTATTTCGAGACAGACTTGTACCGCAATCTTAATAGAAGGAACGGTTAAGTTAAGAATAATCTTCTCTTTCCATGAAATCGTAATAAAATTACCGATATCAAGGAAAGAAAAAGAGAAAGAGAGAGAGAGAGAGAGAAAGAGAGAGAGAGAGAGAGAAAGAGAGAGAGAGAGAGAGAAAAGAGAGAGAGAGAGAGAGAGATCATTATAAGATTAAGGTAAAAGAAAATCGTCAAAGATATATATATATATATATATCCTTAATGAGAAAATTTAATCAAAGAAGAAATTACGTTGTGCTCTGAATTTAAGCGAATAAATCATTACTTATAATAATGAGAAAGTCTCAAACGCTACAATAAATTACTACAGAAAAGTAACGTTGTTCTCAACGTTCTCTTATCTCGCGATAATGAAGAAAAATGTACACACATATGTATACCTGCATATAAGCATACTCGTATTTGTTGAAAATATTATAAAGGTCAACTCTCTTCTTGGAAAGGAAACAGTTCTGACATATATACGACTCTGAAAAGACCTTTATGAATGTTAAGTTAAAGGATATACAAAATTCAAAATTAAAAGGCAAGGTTGTTTCATTAGACTCACGTACGTGAGCGTGTGTGGTCTTACGTAGACAATGCGAAGTAGGTAAAACACGTCGAAGAAAAAGAATCTTTCGTTGAAATGAAAATTCGTCTTAAATTTTATTCCTTAACGAAGGAACCATTTTCTGTTTCGCATTTTAAATAAGAACGGTCTTTGACAAATAACATTGTTAAAGTATTTCTAATTGTTTCCATGCTAATTACTGTTATTATTATTATTATTATCATCGCTCTCTTTCTCCTTTTCTCCCTCTGTCTCTCTCTCTCTCTCTCTCTCTCTCTCTCTCTCTCTCTCTCTGTCTTTCACTTTCTTTTATTGTTTCATAAATTTAATTTTGTAATACACACACACATATATATAGTACATCCGTGTGTACATATATATATATATATATATATATATATTGTTGACCCACACGTGCGTCTCTCAATTGTTTACGGTACTTTCTCTTAAGGGTCATATATCACCATTGGAAAGATTTACCGTTGGAAACCTATTGGATATTAGCTAACAAAACGCATAGATAAAATACACATAGCTACCTTTGGACTTACGCATTCTTAGTAAAGTATCTGTAATAATATGTCAAACCGGCCAATAAGTAAATGATGAAAGTGGACGCTTAGGCGCAATAAGTCAAGAGTTGTCTAGCACCCAGCATTAAAATATCCATTGACACTCTATAATCTGCACAAAGGGGACACACATGGAATGTTTAAATATTCCAATGAACTATTCCCGGCCAATGGGCATTTATTCTTACCCTTTCCATGCTCAGATCATACTACAACTCCGCCCTTTTTATTCCCTTTCCCAATCTCATTACAGTCTGCGTGTATAGTTCTAAAGACGCCAAAAAGACAATCAAGTTACATCTTTCAAACTCACAACATTTAAGCTCTCATGTCTACTTTAGAAGCAACCAGTACAACTAACTAAACATTACACGAAACATAAACAATTGTAACTTATTTCATCAAATATACGGTGATATTTTCATCGCACGCATTATTTAATATCATGTATTTATTTCTCTAGTTTCATGGGACACTTTAAAAGAACACGCGTTCTCCCATTAATTTGCGGGAACGCAATGAGTGGTATTTTGCTGACGGCCTATATCGGTATCCTAGCCTAGTGTCGCCGCTCTTATTCATTACGACCAGTGGATCTATAACTCGGACAACAAGAATGAGACGGGGGATATTTCTCCGTGCAGGTCAACTATCATCGTTGATCCGGTGTGAGACGCATATCTAAAATCGTTCTCGTTATATCCATACGACGCAACACAAAACATTCTCGTTTACTTGATATTGAAAATTCGAAAAAAATGTAAAAAACGAATTGTATATATTACACTTTTTAAAATATCTGAATAATTTTTATACTTCATAAAAAATGTTCTTATTTGTACATTTCTTGAAAATTAATATTGACTTATAATTTTCTTAGCTAATCTGCTTAAGTATTTTAATCCGATAGCCAAGATTAAGTCATTTTCACAATTTTTGAAATGATATACACAATTATTTTTCAAATATTAAAATCTTCAGAAAGAAAGGATGTACCTAATCGCATTTTTAAAATATTAAACGTCAGTCAATGAGAATTCTCCTAAAAAAATTCTTTTAATAAAATTTTAAAATTGACATATTGACGTATATAAACGAGAGTATCAAAGTAAAACCATTTTTACATAGGAATATTAGCCAAGTATGTATATATGTATATATGTATGTGTGTGTGTATGTATGTATGTATGATGTACGTCATCATAAATAGTTAAAGAGTATTATATGGTGAACGTCATATCAACGCCCATTTGAAGTTTGAGTCTCGACGCTTATCTTGAGCGATGACGATTATAGCCGACTCATCACATCATAATGGTATATCTGTGCTCTATGCCACCAGTCGATTTTACCTGCCTTATCTATCTCAAACATTAAATGAGATTGCAAGAGAAAATGAGAGTGAAAGAAAGAAAGGTAGATCACTGATACTACTATTAAAATCATTTCATCCATGTTCGTTTAATTTGTAAAACGTTACAGTAAACGACACGAATTGCAATATAATCTTCAACAAACGTTTTCGATATTATGAAAAATGATACTATGATCAAAACGTATCGTCATTATAACGGCCGAAGTGAACAACAACGAAGACAAGAAGAATCTCTTACACTCTCTCTCTCTTTCTCTCTCTCTCTCTCACTGTATTTCATGAGAAAATTTCAACCGTAGAAAAGTAGAAAATCGATATCGATCTTCGAACGATCATCCGTTGAAGTTTCTCGCAAAATTCACGATCTCTCGCACTCTTTCACTCTATCGAAGTACATGGATGGTGAAAGTTTGCATAATGCGTTTGTGATCGGCATCGAACGATATCGTAGCCTTGTTCGTGCTAACGACATAAAAAACATGAAATGTAAGGTAACTTGGAGTACCAAACGATCTCACATATTGAAATTTTAACGCTCTCTTTCTCCCTCCCAACCTTCCCCCCTCTCTCTCACTCTCACTCTCACTCTCTCTCTCTCTCTCTCTCTCTCTCTGTCTCTCTCTCTCTCTCTCTCTCTATATCTATCTTTCTCTCTTGTGAAACGGTTGGAGCGTTATTAGGGCATATATGTATGCAGTTATGTATTTGTATGTATATATATGTACGTACATATACACTCTAGGTACATACTAACTGCGAATATATATGGTTATAGGTGTGATAATGGTAACGTGGAAGGAGTCTTGTAATTATTTCGACATAATCGATCGATTATCATTATCGTTGTTCGTACTTATGAATGTTAACAAGAAAGAAGAAGAGAAAAATAAACTTTACTTTAGTAAAGAAATAAAAAGAACATGGTCGACAAATAAAACAGATTAAAGAAAAATAATACATCGTTCAGATAAAAAAGTAACAATAAAAGTCACTTAAAGATGACATTATAAAATTTAACGTTTATAATATATAATATATCTAATTGGGAACACGAAGAGAGAGAGAGAGAGAGAGAAAGAGAAAGTTAATAAATGATAAGAGTGGAAAGATATTAGGATAGTAATTACATCAAACGCAGAGATGGTTACTAGTTGTACGCGGTATATAAAGTGGCATTTAGCTTCTTCTACTCGAAAAGCTCGAGAGCTGCGTGAACGCGATAAAGCTGCAAAATGGCGGTTCGAAGGGAAATCCTTGCGGCCGGCGCGAAGCGCAATTTCCCGCGTCACACTTGCATTTCCAACTGCAATTCCCTCTAGCTCGGGTAAGCATCCCCGAGATACCTCTTTTCCCTGTCGTTTTCTCTCTCCTTCCCACTCTTACATTTTCTCTATTTCTCTATCTCTTTCTCCCTCCTTCCTTCTCTCACTCTCTCTTTATCTCTCTATCTCTATTTCTATCTCTCCCTCTTTCTGTCCATCTATTTTTCCCTCTTTCTCCTTTCCCTGAATTTCTCTCTACTTCTAACCGTTCGATCCCGAATTTGTTTTCTTCCTTGAACTTCCATCTCGTCTCGAAATACTTCCTTTCCATTCGTCACCGAGCAAAAACTTTCGGTCCATCTGGGCCGTGAATTAAAGTTTTAGTGTTAGTCCTCGGATCCTCCTCCACCATCATCCATTCTCTCCTGCTACTACGATAGAACTTTCGATCAAGTTAAATTAACAATCGAGTTTCAATTAGTGTCATAAATCGGACTTTTTTCGACTTCCATTCTCCTCCTCCTTTTTTCTTTCTCTTCTTACTTATCGATTTCGATCGAAGTACGAAACAAAGAAAAACCAAATGAGATTTTTCTTTTCCTTTTTTTTGTTATTGTTTTTTTTTTTTTTTTAAAGAATGAGAAAAAAATGAAAAAAATTTCTTAGAATAACGGAATGATAATTTATCTAAATACCGTACCTATCTCTAGTAACCATAGTAAAGGACGAAGAAGATAATTCGTTGGAACAATGTTTGACCACGAAACTCAAGCTCAGTTCTGGAATAAAGTTGACGCGATACGAACTAGAATTTAGGTGTTACGTACCACAGCGAAGATAATCCGTAGAAGAGAATAGAGGTCACACGGATGAACTTTAAAGAATCTTCCGGCCGTGTTAAATGGAAACGAATGGGGGACTCGGAAACTTCTGCATTAAACTCATTACGAGACCGACTTGAATAACGCCCTTGCCCGTTACAGTTACGACGAACTTCCGGTGCTCGCAATAAGGCGTTTTCCTCTATAACCACCTTTCTCTCATCTTCATATAGCTTCGTCATATGTTCCATCGTTTTCCATCTAATTGTCTAGATTATCGATAAAACAGACTGATCAACAAATATTACGTTAGTTGTGTGAACATGCATATCTAAAATAAGATCTTTAATATCAACCTTTAATAGTCAACCCAATGATTTCCTCTCCTGTGATTTCCTCTCCCTGTGATTGATGATACAAAGTATTTACAAGAAGTAATTTGAAACATTAAATTTACAAAAATGTCAAAAGGAAAAAGATGTACAGTCGATTACCAAAGTATATTGAAACATTTTAACATAAAATATTAAAACAAAAGTCTATTTTGTATCTTTTATTAATGTTATAACAGAAAAATGGATTTCTTTCTAATTCTAAATATACTTCGCATACACTAATTTATTCATATCTATTCAAAAATTCAGAGCACTCTTTGCCTAGTCTTAAAAAAATTATTTCATTCCAAAAAAAAGTATTTGAACATTCCCATGATTCTACTGCAGATATATTTCGTTAACATATAGGACATACTTCGCAAAGTAACTCGGTTGCGAGTTGAAAAAGTCAAGTATTTCCGGACATATATGAGTACATAGACTATTTGTACATATATACCATCCTTTCAAATTTTTAATATCCTTCCGTAAACTTCACACCATTCTCGTAGTGTGCACATTATTTCGTAGTACAGTACTATATATGCTTAATACACTTTTACGATGGAAACGTATATTCGTTATATATAATAAAAACAAAGAAAGAGAAAAAGACGTCACAAAATATTTGAATGTCATAAGAAAAAAAAAATAAAAAATATTCTATAATTTTATAATAACATAATACATTGATATTGTATTAATACTTGATTATATCTATATATTTATGCAAAATTATGTCTTTGTATTTATGTAAAAATTATTGTCTATTATTTAGAATTTATGTCAGTTTATATATTTTAGTTCGCATTCTTCCTTATTTCGATCTCAACTTCGAATGACCCCTCATTTATTCACTTTGAACAACAGACTATCTCGAATAGCCTAAGGGTATGTATCGTGTTAACAATTTAGTGATTTATCTATTATCTTAGTAAATTATCGCTTATTCGAACTAATTGAAGTGTCAAATAATAGTGATAATTAAACGTTCAAATTATCGAACAAACAGGAAGACTAATTATTCTTCTTTCTCTTTCTTTAATTTTCTTCAACTCTTTTTTTAACTAATACAAAATCCTAATTATATTTACATACATACCTGTCAATAAAATAATGACTGAACTTCTTCGATTTAACCGATGCTTTCGTGTAACCTCTGTTTTCGTTTCGTTACGAACTTACTTGTTTTCGTCTAACGAAAGATTCTCACGCAAGAACTTTTTGATATGACCGTTTTCGAAGATAATTTACCGTAAAGTTCTTACGTATCTCCCTTTCAACGGCTCGTTGGTGAATGTCGTTTAGATATTTGGAACGACAAACTTCGAACATATAAAGTTCTTGCGAAAAAGGAGAATTCAACAGTGGGTAACCACTGAATTGGTCAATGAGCAATAAAATTTTCTCGACGTTATCGCTGTTATGAGATAAAAAGATTTAATTTTTCACAAGGAAAAACAAGAGGAATCGATTACTGAAATCAAAAAGAAAATTAATGAACGATATTGAGTGATGTTGGGGAAAAAAAAGAAAAAAAAACGAAGAAATACATTTAACTTTTTCACTCCGAATGTGTATGTGTATATATA